GGAAAAAAAATCACTGGACCTAAGAATAAACCCAGTTCTGTCTGTTTGTTTGTTTTTTAATTGATTGAGGTCAACATTGGTTAATAACGTTATATAAATTTTAGGTGTACAACTTTATAATATGACATCTCTAGTCTCTATTGTATGCTCATCATCCAAAACCTAGTCTCCTTTACCTTCTTCCTCCTCCCCTCACACCCCTTCCCTTCTGGTAATCACCATTCTGTTGTCTATATCTATGAGTTTGCCTGTTTTTTGTTTGTTTTATTTGTTCATTCTTTTGTTGTTTTTTTAAACATGTTTTTATTGATTTCTGAGAGGAAGGGAGGAGAGAGAGAGATAGAAACATCAATGATGAGAAGAATAATTGATTGGCTGCCTCCTACATGCCCCCCACTGGGGATCGAGCCTGCAACCCAGGTATATACCCTTGACCAGAATCGAACCTGGGACCTTTTAGTCCACAGGCCGACACTCTATCCACTGAGCAAAACCGGCTAGGGCTCCTTTTTTTGCTTTTTGTTCTAGATCCCACATATGAGTGATATCATATGGTTCTTGTCCTTTTTCATCTGATTTATTTCACTTAATACTCTCAAGATACAAATGGCAATATTCCATCTTTTTATGGATGAATAGTATTCTGTTGTATATATGTACCACATCCTTTTTATTTAATTTAAAATTTTTTAATTGATTTGGAGGGGGGGAGAGAGAGAGAGAGAGAGAGCAAGAGAGCTATCAATTCATTGTTCCACTTATTTATGCATTCATTGGATGATTCTTACAGAGAGGAAGGGAGAGGGATAGAGAGTTAGAAACATCGATGAGAAACATCGATCAGCTGCCTCCTGCACACCCCCTACTGGGGATATGTGCGCAACCAAGGTACATGCCCTTGACCCGGAATTGAACCTGGGACCCTTGAGTCCGCAGTCCGATGCTCTATCCACTGAGCCAAACCAGCTAGGGCTGGATGATTCCTGTATGTGCCCTGACTGGGGATCAAACCCACAACCTTGGCATAACGGGATGATGCTCTGACCAACTGAACTACCCAACTAGGGCTGTACCACTTTTTTTAAAAAAACCCAATTATCTGTCAAAGGACACTCCAGTTGTTTCCATATTTTAGCTATTGTGAATAATGCTGCAACGAACAAAGGGATATATGTGTACACATATATATCTTTACAAGTGTTTTCAAATTAATCTTTATAATAGACCTTCACCCTTTATATTTTAAGAACGATTTTTTATCCATTGTCCATCTCCTCCTCCTTTAACCCTTAATCTCCATTTCCAGATATAAAATGTAATCCTAATAGGATAGGAAATCTTCCACCACTTCAAGAAGAAAATTTGTATCTCTTAGGGTGACCTACCCAGTTACAACCAGCTCATTCGCTTCTGCCCAGCTATTTAAAGCTTATTATACTCTTAGGTGGTAAAAGGGGATTTCCTGGTACCTTTCAAATTACTTTTCTATGTCCATAACCACCCCTATTTCTGCTGAGCCACTATCCTGAGCCCATCTTTTACAGGCCATGCAACAGTGACCCTGTGCCACTCCTGCTGTTCTGCACTCGTGATTCATCATCACAAATCGTTCTCTCTTTGTAGGTTCCACATTACCTATGAATGGGACTCACAACAATGTATTGATGTTTTTCTAACTTTAGGACCGCCACAGACTATATGTCCATTAAACACAAAGAAACGGTTATTCAGTTCAATAAGTATGTGTTGAACACCAGACACTGAGCAAGACTGGGTTGGAACAGGGGCTGAAGACATGCAGAGGATAAGCGACATAGAAAACACAAAGCCACGTAGATCTGAGAAAGTCAGTGCAATAGAACACTGAACCTCTTAGACTAAAACGTACCTGAGGGTAGGGAGTTTGTTTTGTTTTATTTTTACACTGATGTGCCCCAAGTGCTTGGAATAGTGGCTGGGGATTGATATTTGATAATAGACATTTGATTCATGTATAATAGACATTTGATTAATATCTGTTGTGTGGATGAATGAATGAATGAACAAGATATGACTCTTGTTCTCAAGAAGCTTACACTCTAGTACACAATAAATAAATCTATGTAATAATAAGTGTTCCTATAGGAATAAGCAGATGGGAGCAAAGCACCAAGTTTAGTCTTGAGATGGTTTTAGAAAGTTAGGGACCTCCCCAGGTTGCTACAGGCTCCAGTAAGGCTGGGAGACTGCTAAAACAAATTATTTCTACCTCCTATCCAAATGGTTCCCAAATCAAAATTTTCATCTAAGTCAGTTTCCTGCTAGTGTGTCTGTAACTTTAATTTTCTTTCATGGCTAGGCATATCTTTAATATGTCTATTTCCATTGTATTGTTTGTCAGTGAAGTCCAAATATAAATATCTCTAAATAACTTTAATATAATCTAGTTTGTCATTAGTGTAGGCACTTCCCTTTCTGATCAAATATTAAAGTGAAGTAGAGAAGAGGGAAGAGAGTAGTGTAGGTCCTTAGGAATGACAAAACCAGAGAAAGGGAGTTTATGGATTGCTCAGTTCCTAAGGAGACCTAATTTCTGAAAATGGCTCTAAATACTTAAAGGAACATTTTACCATTAGAGAACAGACCAGAAGTTAAAAGTAAAGTTGCCAAAGACTTTCACCACATCATTCTACTATAAACATGTGAATGAGAAAGTTAAGGATCAGACCCAGTTGCTAGTTATGTTTCTATTTCTTACTGTCATAAAATAATCTGTGTGCTACCTTGAAAATCCCTTGGCTTAGGCTTTAAAAAATTGTTTTTACAGGAAAGAAAATTATCTTCTAAAGTGAAATCAAATAATTGCTATTGAATTTTACATCACAGGAGTCTTGTTCCCAAGTAAGCACAGTAGAACATTTCAACTACAAGAGTACCTCTGACTGTAAACATATTGTTAGCTCCCACAGATTCCTGCAAGAGCAATGCACAGATGGTGGATTATATTGAGATTCTTGAAGGGCTCTCCGCATGTTGACAATATTAGTTTATGCACGTGAGTAACATTGCTTAATTTGCAAAGAACAAAAAAACAAGAACATTTAGTGATAAAATAGAATGCCATTTGGACTATTATTGTTTTCATCATAGAAAATGCAAAGTTTGGGGTAAATATGTTTATCTCTGTTAATGGTATGGAAGCTTTGCAACAAAGACTGGCTGACTATAAATTGAGACTGATGATGGTCAGACATTATGTATAATATTGAAGCGCTATTCTACAAAAGCCTACATTTCTTGGGTAACAAAACTTTTAATATAGAAACTCCATAGATAATTTCTGAAGTCAACTCAAGAAACTAAAATAGACAGATCATACACTGAAATAGAGACATCTGAAATCATTCAATCTATTATTCCAGTAGAAAGGTAAAATATTCATTTTTTCATTCTGTTCATGCTTTAGACTAGAATTATTCTCTAAAAAGAGTTGGTGTTGTTTCACATGCCCATAAAAGTTTTCTAACTCTACATGGAACATTCATTTCTCTCAATCTTTCAGTTCAAGTAGCAGTGTTTCTAATGAAAAAATTTCACATTAAATGTATAACAAAATGACTTTGTGTTTCTCCTTTCACACACTGAGGAAATCACGCAGGAAAGGAAAATAAATCACTCTCTTTTGGGGTGAAAGCATTCATATTTGATAAGTGATTTGAAAGTAAAATGAGATTTTACATCAACATTTTACATTTTTAATGGACTTGTCTTTATTGGCATTCTTTTCAGGAAAGAGTTATTACTAAAAGAAATATGCACATAGAAAAATATGTATGACAAAGTATATTTATAGATAATTTGTGCTAGAGAAATGAAGAAATCTTGCAAAGTGAATATGAGAAAGAACCTAGTAATAAAAAGGTTCTAGGAGAGTATTATTAAAGACAAAAAACCCAAAAATGTTTTGCTTTATGTGAGCATAGGACTACAATTTATAAATACTATCTAGAGATATGAAGAAGGGGAAATAGCCAACTAGTCAGAGAGGGGAAAAAAATACAACAGAAAATGTTTTCTAAATTTCTGGTTTTAGAATGTTGTCTGTATCTTCATATGGCCCCCTGGATAGCTGTCAAGTCTGAGCTGGATTAGAAATGTGGTTACGGGATCTAAGATAAACTTTCTTTTACATTCCTGCTCCACCCCTGAAATTCTTTTCTACTGCATTTAAACATTGGTTGCCCATTAACTCAGCCTTTTTTTTTTATGTATTTAGAGGCCCTGGGCTCTAGTGAAATCTTATAAAACTGTTTATAACATATTCCACAGTGGAGAAAAAGCAAACTGACAAACGCCCCATGCCTTCACTCCCACCTCTGGCTTTGCATCCTTCTGGCTAGAGCTTTCTACAAAAACAGTGAAACTCTATTTCAGTGTTAACTGCTCTTGAGAACAGGCACAACACATGACCACCTTAGAGGATAACCAATTACAGATGTACTGTAGAGCATTTTGTAGGAAGGCATAGGATTTATATTCAGGGGATAATCTTGGCATACACTATATGCCAGGTACTAAACTACTCTCTGTCTCTATGGATGATGCAAAGATGAAAAGAACACAGTTATGTTTTCAAGGGGCTTACAATCATGTAGGGGATGTGAAATATTACAAGCAACTATAATAAAGATATATCTGCTAAGAAGCTTTGATTGCCTCATTTATTCATAGCCTCTTTCAAAGAAAAACAGCTTAAGATAGTTTCTTTATGCATATGGTATGCATATTCGTCACAGTGCTCTAAGATTGAATCTGAGACCAACACTGAAACCCAGAAGTGGTCTCAGGCACAGCTCTTCCAGAGAATGGAGCTGAAAACCGAGTCCTTCAGTGGCTCGCTTGATTACGTTCACCTTCCGAAAGTTTGAATGTGAGATATGTAGGGAGAGTCAGTTTGTTTGTAACATGGCTGGAGTTGAAGAAGCAGAGATAGAAGGTTATGAAGTTGCTGTGACAGCAGGAAAGTAGAATAAGGAGCGAGCAAGGATGTGCTATTGGAGTTGAAAGAATGGGTTTGGCCAGCTGAGCAGGTGGCTAGAACTTGTCAGCCTGGAGGGTCCCAAGCACTGCTATGTCCTGGATTCAGGTTCTGTTCTCTGCTGATTTGACTGTTGAGACTATTCTTCCTTTTAATTACTATGGAGCTTCACAATACATTCCTAGTAGCTGTGGGCTAACCTGGGTATGCCTATTCTTTGCTCACGGAGAAGGTCCCTCCAAACACTACAAAATAGTAGGAGGGATCAAAGGTTAAATGGTTGGCAGCACAATCCTTATCCTGCAATTTCAACATCAGACACTTAGAAGATCCACAGATATTTGAATGAATATTGAATAAGGGAAATGGGTCAAGTATAATGAGGGTTAAGAAGAGTGGAAATTATTTCTTGCTGAGAGAATCGGAGATAAGCTTTTATGAAGACACATCTGAGCAGGGCCTGGAAGTCAGAGGATGCTTAGTTAGGAGTGAAGGGTGGGACTTCTGCAAACATATGCTCTAAACATGGGACTTTTAAACTGTTTTTAAAAGTATTAATGTTGTCATGAAAGTTTTTAAGGTTACGATGAAAATACCCTGGAGAGAACATTATGAAAATAATAGTTAAAGGGTTGCATCTTTGAAGATATTCACTTCCCCCATAAACCCAAGGAATAGGTCTTACACCTCGGCCTATCCCTCTTCCCCATTACAACCTGTCTTGCATTTATACACATCTTCATTATTTATTTATTTATTTATATATAATAGCTCCTTATGATATGTAACACAGCAACGCTATGCACTCTTCTTTTAATTTATAGCAACGAGATTGCATGCAAGATGCAAAATCCCCTAACAGCTTGTTTCTTTAACAGCACATAAGGAACAATAATAACCACTCCACACATTGTTTACTACTTTGGGCAGTGGTGTTACCAAAACCTAGCCAGTCCCAAATTCTTTTTACAAAGTAATAATTTTTTCTCAGGTGCTCTGAAAATTCTTAGATTTGAAAGAAAACCAAAAGCAACCTACCTTGGGATGTGGAGTTTCATATGTTAATGTCTCAGTGCCTACCATTGCACCTTTGGGAATTTTATAAATTCACATTTCACACTGTGAACGCACATGCATGAAGCAGCCTGCCTCTGACCACCTGAAAGCAAACGCATGATGAATGGTTTTCAAATGTCCCACTCTAGAACTATTTGAAGAAGATGGGCCAACTGTCTATTGATAATGTCATCAAGGCTCTTTTTTTCTTTGTTTGGTAGGATTTTGGATTTTCCTTAGAAAAACGACCTGCCCAATGACTCTCAGTCTTCCTGAGACACAAACAATTGAAGTGATCACATCCATCACATCCTCCCGTGGGAACTAGCTGCCACTCCCACTCAAGAAAGCATATAAGAACCCATGTCAGCCTGAGAAACATGTGCCAGGAATAACTCTGAACATGAATTAAAATTTTTAAAGCCAACTTAAGAATGAAATACTTTAGTATTAATCACAAATGATTTGTGTATCTCCTCACAATTAAACACATCTCAACACCTTGCTTCGGTGAGAACTGCTACACTGATGATGTTATCACCACCAAGCATTACTCAGTGTCAGCAAAGTACACACACACACACCTTACTCCCCCACCATCCATACATGTGCACATTCCCAGTCGTAACCAGACACAGACTATGACACTTTCTCATTCTACCCTCTGTTTTCAAGCTCTATCAACAATTACAGACAATTGCATAGAATTTTGCTCTTTTATTTTTTAAAAAATTATTGATTGCTTTTAGGAAGAGAGAGAGGAAGGGAGAGACAGAGAAACACCAATGTGTTCCACTTATTTATGCATTCATTGCTTTATTTTTGTATGTGCCCTGACTAGGGATTAAACCCACAACCTTCGTGTATTGGGATGATGCTCTAACCAACTAAGTGACCCAGATAGGGCCAGGCTCTTTAATTTTATGTGTGAGTACAGTGAATCACAAAAAATTTTGATTTTGAAAATTAGTTTGGTTACTGAGGACTGACTTTGTTTGTCTGTGTTCCTGAAACTGATTTCAGGGTAATAGATATTCTAAGCCAGCGATGTTCAGCCTTTTGATTCATTCACACTGGACAGCTATTGTTGTGTTGGGTGTTTATTTGACAGACTAAGGGAAAAGAGGTCAGTGCTCCTGACTAAATAGTCAGGTTTTGCATGTTTTAAAAATTCTTGCGGCACACAAGTTTAAAATCGCTATTCTAAACCATCAAGAGAAAACAAGAAATATGCAAAATATGTTCCAAGGTAGTTAAATGCCTTCTCTCATATAACATCATGAGTATTTGCACACTGATCACCATTTTATCTATTAACAAAACACATTTGGGTAGTCTTGAGATTAACTTTTAACAAACAGTACAGCCCTAGCTGGTTTGGCTCAGTGAATAGAGGGTTGGCCTGCAGACTGAAGGGTCCTGGGTTTGATTCCAGTCAAGGGCACATGCCCGGGCTGTGGGCTGGATCCCCAGTGTGGAGTGTGCAGGAGGCAGTCAATCAATGATTCTCTCTCATCATTGATGTCTCTATCTCTCTCTGCTTCTCCCTTCCTCTCTGAAATCAATAAAAATATATTGTTGAAAAAAAGATTCTCTCTTTAAAACAAACAAAACAAACAAACAAAAGAAAAACAGTACAAGCTGCATACCATTCTGCAGCCAGGAGAAAGAGTGGGATGAGGATCCATTTGTCCGAGCTTGTGCAGGTAAAAGCATGTTTCAGGATGATTTTCTGGAAAAACGTATTTATATTTTAACATATTTTCTTGGTTGGCCACATTCTTATTTATTCAGACACACCGTCAATGTGCATTTTAGGATTTCTTTACTTTTTCATTCAACAAATGTTCTTGAGAATCTACTATGTGTTCTACTGTTAGGAATTCAACAGGAATAGAACACAAATCCTAGCTCTTGTATAGCTTAGTTTCTAGTTGAGGAAAGATAGATCTTGAGCAAATAAATAAGCAAAACACATATTGTGCGACAGATGGTGATTCTTTCCATGGAGACAAGAATGCAGGTAAAGGGAAACAAGAGTTCTGGAGTGAAAATTACAGTTCAAATAAGGTAATCAGGAACCTCACTGAGGAAGTGGCATTTCAGCAAAGACCTGAAGGAAGTGAGGGAGAGAATTCCGTAGTGATCTGAGGGAAAGAGCCTTCAAGTGAGTGTCTGCTGGTCTCTCCAGGGGGCAAGAGGAGGCCAGTGTGGCAACAAAAAAGCAAGCAAGGGGAAGAGGAGGAGGACACGTGATTAGGAAGCCAAGGGGGTCCCTGGTGGGCCATTGTGAGGGGTTTGCCTTAGAATGCAACAGGAACCTATTAGAGGAGTGACAAGGTTTGATTGTGACTGTCTTGAACATCAGTAGATGGGCTACAATATAAATACGATGTCACTTAGTGATGACTTCTATAGAGCCAAGGGGTTTTATGGAGCTGAGCTAAGATGTAGTGTCTGCGGAGTTTTACAGTTTTGGTATTTGTCCTGAAAAAAGGAAAGAAAGGAGGGAGGGAGGGAGCAAGGGAGGAACAAAGGAATGAAGGAAGAAAAAGAAAAGAAACCAACGATTGTTGAGACATTAAGAGTAGTAGCTTTCTGCTTGGGTGGTATGACTCAGTGGTTGAGTGTCGACCCATGAACTAGGCGGTCATGGTTAAATGCACATGCCCGGGTTTCGGGCTTGATCTCCAGTAGGGGGTGTGCAGGAGACAGTTGATGAATGTTTCTCACATCATTGATGTTTCTCTCTCTCTCTCTCTCTCTCTCTCTCTCTCTCTCTCTCTCTCTTTCTCTCTCTCTTTCTCCCTCTCCCTCTCCCTCTCCCTTCCTCTATGAGATCAATAAAAATATATTTTAAAAAAAGAAATAGTAACTTTACAACATTACCATGTTCCTGACAAACCTGGTAAATTAAAACAATCTGAAGAACATAGTGTATTTATAGTTACAAAAAAATACATGATAATTCTTTGGTTTTGCTCACAACTTTCCTTTAAGCCAACACAAATTGCTACTCTGCCAGTTAAACTCTCTGCAAAATGCACAAAATTTGTATTTGGAAACATTTCATTGGCATCCTGTAAGTTCAATTAATTAATGTCTGTAAAGTACTTTGAGATCATCAAGAACACAAAATTGACCTAAAAACAAGGGTTTCCAATGATTGCAAAGAAGTCCATTATTTGGGGCATCTGTTTTACCTCTACACATTATCTTAGCAATCATTTCTCCTGATCACCATTATCAACCGATGCTATCTCACAGAGACTCACAAGAGCTGGTCCTGAGAAGTAAAATGATAAATTTAGGAAAAGCTAATTATTGCATTGGTCTCTATTAAATTTGGCCTATTTTATTAGCAAAAAAATAAAAAATAAACAAATTTCTGTTGAACAGTTCTCAAAGTATAGTCCAGGCACCCTTGGGGATTTCAAGACATTTGTACTACACTTGATCTTAGTCAAATGTCTTGAAGCAATCAAGACATTTTTAGGTCTGCAAAGTCAAACCTGTATTCACAATAATACCAAGATGTTATTTTCTTTTTTCACTTTCATTTCTCTTATGAGTGTACAGTGACGTTTTCTAGAGGCTATGTGTGCTATCTAAACAGATGCAGGAGAAGATGTGAGACTTCTCTTTTCAAGCCAGACATGAAAGAGATTTGCAAGCCTGTTAAAGCAATGCTATTCTTCTCACTACTTTTTAAACTATAATTATTTTCATAAAGATGTTCTTCATGTTAAGATGTAATGAGTTTTTGTTATTTTAAGTGAATTAAATAAGGAAGTCAATACACGTTAAGTGTGTGAAAGGATCCTGAAATCCACTACTTTTGATAATCTTTGAACCATTACTTTTGAATGTACACTCCAAGAGGGCAGAGATTTTTGTGTTTTGTGAATCAATGAACAAATATTCCAAAGAGTACTTAGCATATAGTAACTGCTTAATAAACACTTGTTGAATGACTGACTGAATGAATGACTTATTACTATTAAGATGTTAGATGAACTAACATGGGCTTCTTAAGGGCAAATGGTAATATTTATGTTTGTTGAGGTTTGTGCATACATAGAATTATCTTATGCAGACATTACAATTATTTATGAAAGGGATTCAGAATAAAATGAAATAATCATTTATATTTCCATTTGCAACTTCTTCACACATTCACAGACCGCTAATATAAGAATTATGACTCTATCAGTGAAAACAAAGACGTTCCTCTGAGTTTTGAGCATGTGAAAGACTGGTCTTCTATTCTTTTTGGTACATTCACAAACTCCTACATCTTGGCTTTCAAGGGACACTTGACAAGACAAACAATCTTCCACAGAGACTAGAAGAATTCAGCAAAATAGTGACTTGCTTCTTTCAGTTGAGGACATATGGATACCAAATTAGATGTCTGATCCCAAAGGGACCTAATGCCTCTAGACTCTAAAATGTTAAATTGATGTGCACAAATAAAGCTCTATTTGAATGCACTTTACCATGAATGGAATAGAAGCACTTTACAACATATTTAAGAACTGTAATTAAGGAGAAAAGTCAAAAACTAGGAAAATCAGGCTTGTAAGCAATGGGTTGTCCAATGAGTACCTCCTTGGCGAATTAGAAGGAAGGGGTTTTAAAAAATACTTGTGATTTCTAATATTTCTAAAAAGAAAAACATTCAATGAAGTAATGTTGCGTTAGGGAGCTAGAAACAAAAGCAAGAGACTTTAATTGCAAAGTCCTTATTTTGAGTGGATTATGAGTCCTATTATTTTCTTTAGAGCAGCAAACCCACAGATTTTTATTAAGTGACTCCTACTCGCCTAGGTCTCTCTAGATATGGAGGATTCAGTGTTCCCTGGCTCATGAAATTTATATTTCAGGGAGGAAACAGACAAGCAAATACAGAAACAACCACGATAAGTTCAGGTATGATAAGCAGGATTAAACAAGTGTCTGTGTGAAGGAGTGATTTGTTGGAGAGTAGAAGGATAGGGTGGGGAGTGCTGATTTAGGGTAGGTGTTGGGGACTCTCTCCTGAAGTGGCAGTACTATTCTGACACCTGAAAGGCAAGAAGGAGCATCCTCAGCTGAGGAAATTGCTTGTTCAAGACCCTGAGGAGGGAATGAACGTGGTACATAGAGGGAAGAAAAAGGTGGCTAGTGTAGTTGGAGCCTAGTGAGGAAAGGGATCCATGATGTGTTCAGAAGTAGGGAAAAACTGCAGCATGAAATGAGTTAAACGCATTTTAATTTTCTTCTGAGAGCAATGAAAAGCCTTTAGAGAGCTTGATCTGGTCACATGATCCAATTTGCATTTTGAGAAGACTCAGTCTGGCTGCCCATGGGAAATGGATTGTAGGGAAGCTAGTATAGAGCCAGGGATCCATTAATGGATGACTGTCCCCCTGGGAGAGGGACAATGGATGGTAGCTTGGGATGTAGTGGTAGCAGTGAAGAAGAGAAGTGGACGGGTATGGATTGATTTGTTCTTTGTTGAAAGTAGTGTATGGAACTTGTTTGGCTCCTTGAAGGAGTTTAACAAATCGTAACTTATGTCACTGCTCCATTTTTAAGTGCATAGCTTGCAGAGACTCATGGATTTGTGCTAACTCACACAACTAGTAAATTTAGCCAGTGTACAATTCCCACTGCCACCAGGTACTGTTATACCATTCACAAAACCCATCCTCCGAGGCCTCTTCCCCTTCCAATCTTTTCTGCGTTTGTGACTGTTCTACTCTTCCTCAAGCATTGCTTTCATTGTGTTTACCTTGCTGATAAGGACATTATATGTAGTCATTGAGTAATTGCAGTGGACTATGCTTGTGTGGGTGGGTGGGGTTCACACACTTAAGATATGGCTCTCCCCTCTAGGATTTTAGAATTTACTTGGGGAGACATAAGTAAATCCGTATGGAATAATAGGCGGAGAAAAAAAGATGGCATAATTAACAAAGCTTTCATAAAGGAGGTCAGACTTGTTCTAGATCTTGAAAGAGAGGCAGAAAGACGCTGGGTGAAAAAGGAGCAAAGACACAGTAACCTAGTTTTGTACCACAGAGAGGAGGATTGCTTGAGGAGGAGAGAGTACCTGCTTTGGGGAGGTGGGAGACAAAGTCACAGGGCAGCATAGTGCCAGACAATGGATGCTAGCAAAAGCTAGGTACCGCCCTAGCCGGCTTGGCTCAGTGGATGGAGCGTCAGCCTGTGGATTGAAGGGTCCCAGGTTCGATTCCGGCCAAGGGCACATGCCTGGGTTGCGGGCTCGATCCCCAGTGCGGGGTGTGCAGGAGGCAGCTGATCAATTATTCTCTCTCATTGATGTTTCTATCTCTCTCTCCTTCTTCCTTCCTCTCTGAAATATATATATATATATATATATATATATATATATATATATATATATGTATATATACAAATATATATATGTGTATATATATATATATATATATATATATATATATATATATATATAGCTAGGTACCAAGAATTTGGCCTTGATTCAGTTGGATGCAAAGAGTTATTAAGATTTGTAAACAAGATTCACTCTTAGTGAAGGCTTAGCTAAGACCAGCGATCATTCTTCACTAAATTTCTAAGGTATTTATCATCAACTTTAGGTACTAAGCTTATTAATTCTTTGTACTTTTAAAATATATTATCTGTATGAGTGCAGCCTATATGGAGAAGGTACAGAGGAAATATTTGATGATGATGAAAGACATGTATAAGGAAGATTAATTTGGCAATAGCATATGGCCTGCATTGAAGAGAAGAAAGCCAGGACGTAGGAAAGTCATGAGGAAGTTGTTTCAGAAGTGCAGGTGTGAAGGAAAGAATGTGGAAGAGGCAGATAAGAAAAAATGCTTAGGAAACATAATTAAAGGGAGCTGTAATCAATTTGAATGCAGAGTGGGTTAAAAATTAATTTCAGTTTTTGAATATAAAGTTTTGAAGGACCATCATGCCCTTCAGGTAAGATGGAGAACTTGGGAGAGGGTATTAGTTTGGGAGGATTAAGAAGGGGAATTTGGCTTTGGACAGGCATTTGCTATGAGGACAGGGTATTCGTTTAGAAATGATCTAGGAACTGGGCTAGATGAGAATGAAGTGACTTTTAGAGACTGCTGAAGGTTCATTATGATTTCACTCACATGAACAAAAATGTATAGAGGTCCTACAATGTGCAAAGAGCTATAGGATATAGAGTTAAAATCAGCACGGACTTTGAGGAATTAACTGCCCACTAGGGAAAAGAGATATGCAAGAAAAGAATACAAAGTGAAATAAGAGTCAGAGGAGATATATGTTGGGTAAGTGAATTAAATAACACCTTAGTTAGTAGTACGAATTTCCCACGTGAGAAAACGGACTTCGAGTCCATCAAAGTATCCAGAGTTAGTTCCTCCTGTTTAACTTTCCCTGACTGTTGCGGAGCCTTATTCAAGCTCATAAGAGCTTTAATAGGCGAAATTTAGCTACATGGGCAAAGCAGCTGCCTGCTCCCAGTGGTGGCCTGCGAGGAGACTCTACCCCCTCCTGGGACAGGGTCTCTTTTTTACAGGGGGATAATAGTAAAAAGCATATGGTGGGTAGTCACGTAGATCACTACAAAGAACAATGCACTTCTAAGTTAACAGATAACATCACGCGGTTCTCCACACTCTACACATTCATTAACCTCCTTGCTAGGGCCTGACGATTATCTTTGGGCAGCATTCTGGCTTTCTGGGAAGTCAGTCAAACCTGAGGCTACAGGAAGTTAAACAGTCACAGAAAGTTAAACAGAGTCTCCAACATTTCCCAGCTGCCTTTAGTGCTGGAGTCATATTAAATCTATAAAGTGAGTTCCACTATAGCACCCAAAGGCAATGATCTCTAAACGAGGCACAAATAAGGCTGGCCACCAATTAGATGTCCCTTCAGGAAACTTGTGTCCAATAAAGGCCTTTCTTGTTGAAGAGTGAATGACAAGTGTATTCAGAGCCTCTCTCTTGGGGTGTTTTAAATTTAAGTCACAGAGAGTCGTCACTGGAAGCAGAGGTAGCAGAAGCTGAGACCGCTATGAGAAAGCAGCAGAGAGATGCTGATTCAGAAGAACTGCAATATTCTTCTAGTCTGGGCAACAGATGCTTGTTAACGAGGGGATGAGCAAGGCATCCCAGCCTGCTGCTGGATTGCAAGGACTGCAGTTGATTCTTGGAATGAGCAGTAGTTCTGGCTGATGCTATGACTTTCTGAAATGTCCTTATTGCCTTAAAATAAGCCCTCAGAGTCTACGGTGCTCTGAACATGTCCTGGCATTTTACATATCGTAAGAGCCCAACTAACACAAGGGTATTCCTGTGGTTTGCTTTGATTACATCTGCAGAAGAGGGTACCTTATAAAGGAAAGGGTCAGGGTGATCTTTATAAGGCAAGATCAAAAGCATGTGGGCATGTGCATGTGTGTATGTGGCTGCCTTCCCAGAAGAGTGTAATGGGAGAGGGTAGAAATACAGTTGCATCTTAGAGCAAGCCTGGAACCCCCGGGTTCATACTTTTGCTACCCTTCTCACTCTTTACCCATCGTGAGCACAGTCCAGGACTGTGTGCATGTCCTGGGGGAGAGCAATGAAAGGAAGAGCCAGGAAGACTGCTCAATGGAGTCACCAGGCGTGAGGAAGAGAAAGCCCCCAAAAGCAGAAAGTGCAGCTTCCCAGAGGAGAAGAGAGGAATTTGAGTAGTATCTAGATCAGTGGTTCTCAACCTTGGCTGCACATTAGAATCACCTGGGAATCTTTTTAAAATCCTGATTTCTGGGCCTCATCCTCTGGAAATTCTGTTTCTTTGTTATGGGGTGGGGCCACAACATTAGTAACAAAGAAACAGAATTTCCGGAGGATGAGGCCCAAAAATCAGGATTTTAAAAAGATTCCCAGGTGATTCTAATGTGCAGCCAAGGTTGAGAAGCACTGATCTAGATGAAAGTTTCCAATGTACAGACTGCTGATCACAGGTTTAAGATCACATGATTTGATAAAAATGAAGATTTCTGGTTCACCTTAGACCACCTGAATGGGATATTTGGATGAGGGGCCTAGGAACTTGCATTTTTCTAAGTATGTCAAGTGCTTCATGAGTACTTACCTTTGAAATCCACTGCTCTGAGCCCACGGTAAAGGACGTGTTAGGGAGGCTGCTGGCTTCTGAGAAAGCACCCAGGACTGACTGGCGGACAGGCTTGACAGAGCTTATGTGTGCATTGCTGTAGACGGGAAAGGAAGGAAGGATAAAGTGATCTGCAAATGAAGCTGGATGATAACTGAGACCACATGAATGTATTCGGTTTCTGCTAATGCCAGAATTTTCATAATCAGCATAAAAGTGCAATATAAAGCTGCTCCCTCCCCTCTATATTTGTCCTTTTAAGATTTATGGAGGACTAACTCCAGGGAGAACATTGTATTAACAGCTGAAAGAGAGGACAAAAGCTCATCATGTACTTGAAGCTGGACAAAATAAATCAGTGATTCATATTTAAGTGACTACAAAACAACACACAAGTAAGTGAAAATTCATTCACTTAACAAAAACTCACTGTGTCCATTATGCGCCGACTCTTTTCTGGACTTCCCAGGGTGTGGTTTTTCAGGTGGTGGCCTGGGTGAGCTTAAAGGCAGATTTTGTAAGAAGGTGAAAACAGAGATTAGAGAGAGTTTAAGGCACTGGTTCTAAGTGCAGATTTAGAGTCACAGATTTCAGGAGGGTACACCGTCAATATTCCACAAATATTTATTGAGTGCCTATTGTATTGTAGGCACTGGGAATACAGCTTTAGGTAAAAAAGACACCCCCCCTCCAAAAAAAAAAAAATACCTGCTCTCATGGAGCTTATGTACTGGTGGGAGAAATGAAAAAAAAAAAAAGCTTACATAGTATATTAGAAGGTGATAATTGCTCTAGAGAAAAAGCAGGAAGAGAGATAGATTTGGGAGAAGGAGGGAGAGATACAATATCATAGATGATCTTTTGGGAGGAACTCGTTGGGACACATTTGAACAAAGATTTGTAAGTAGGTGTTGGAGGGAGCTTTGGGGATTTATAGTGCATGTGTGTTCCGCTTCCTGTCTTCTGCCTCTTCCACCTGGTGCCAATCGGTAAGAGAGGGAGACCCAAACAAGCTTTGCAGATCACAGCCCACAGAAGGAGTAGGAAGAAAGGATGACAGGTGGTGTGAGGTTGATGAACAGTCATAATAGTTGGGGTTTAAAATAATTGTCTTATTCGTGTTGTAGGATGTGGGCCATTTACCTTTCTAGCTAGTTTATCCACAGCAGATTCTGGGTTAGTGCTAGCAGGTTTAATTGTCCCATTGTCCAATGTGTGAACTCCCTGAATGTTAACTGATGAGTCTCAATCTTCTAATTAATGTTTGAGTAATTCTCCTCGGGTCCAAACTATCAAGGACATTTCTGCGTAAAAATAATGAGCCTTCGGATGGTGCCCTCAGGGGCAATGGGTGTATTGGGGGTCCCTGCTTAGAGTGACCTGTGATGAAACAGCAAAAGCAAAACAACAGACCCGTGGAGTGATAAAACGGCTCGCCGGGTTTGTTAGGGCTTGGGGCTAGGTTCCCAGCCCCAGTGAGGCGGGTGAGAACCCAGCCGAGATCTGAAAGCCCTGGGGTGGGGGGGCGTCTGCCCCATCCCCCCCCCCCCCCCCCCGCGGTGGGCGCCTGCCTGTTTATTTACGTGCAAGCAATGGTAGTAAGTGAATGTGAACAAGTGTAGGCAGATCCCGAGGGACGACGAGATCTTCGCAGCTTCTCCGTGCAGAAGCGATAAGGGTGAGGCAGGCTCGCGGACAGCGTGCGTGTGGCCGACCCCAGGCGGCTGGGGTCCGAATCTGCGGCTGCGGGTTGGGCTCTGCGGCGAGAGCCTGGGGGCGGGGCGGGGCGGGCCGCCGCGTGGGTCCACCAGTAACCCCCCTGCCCCGCCGGCCGGCCGGCCTCGGCCCCACCCCCACCTCCCCGCCCTCCGCGGCCCGGCCCCGCTTCTCCTCCCCGCCTCGTTCTCTTCCCTCTTCCCACACCGCCCTCCGCCGCTCCCTCCCCGCACGCCCGCCCGCCGGAGAGGAATCGAGCGCCGAGCGCATCGATAGCCCCCGCCCTCGGCGGCCGCCCGGCCCGGGGCCCATCGGTGCGCTCGGCGCTCGATTTCCCTAGGCGGCGGCCGCGGCGGCGGAGGCAGAGCGGCGCGGTGGCGGCGGCGGCGGCGGCTGCTCGGCCAGCACTCCGGGCCCCCGCCATTTCCGACTGGGCGCGAGCGCGGTGCGGGCACTGAAGGCGGCGGCGGGGGCCAGAGGCGCGGCGGCTCCCAGGTGCGGGAGCGAGGTACGGAGCGGACCTCCCCTCCAGGGGCCCTGCCCTGGACCCGACCCTCCGCGCCCGCGCCGGGCGGGGCCGGCGGCGAGTGAATGAATCAGGGGTCCCGGCGGGGCGGAGAGGGTCGCGGGAGCCGGGAGGGCGGGGGCCGGGCGCGGGGGGCGGGGGGCTCGGGGGTGCGGCGACGCGGGGAAGGAGGACTGGGCGGTGCGGGGCTTCGGAGGGTGAGGCTCGAGGCGGTCGCCGCTGGTACTGCTTCCTGGACGGGGAACCCCTTCCTTCCTCCTCCCCGAGAGCCGGGGAGGCGGCCGGGCAGAAACTCGCGGGCCGGGCGGGCTGCCCCGCGGGGCGGCGGGGTGCGGTGGCCGTCCCTCCCCGCGCGCGGCCTCCCCTCCCCCTCCGCGCCCTCCGCTCCCGCTCCCTCCGCTCCCGCACCTCTCCTCCCCGCCCCGCGCCCGGGGCCTCGGGGCTGCCTTCTCCGCTGCACGGAGCATCTCGAGGGCGGAGGAATAAACTTCTCCCCGAGCGCGGACCCGGCGGCTGGTGGCCCCTTGTCACCGTGGAAGCGGGGAGAGGAGTCGGGGGAGATCACGCTGGGGAAGAGCCTAGGAAAGTGCTCGGAGACCACTGTTGGAGGTTATTGTGTTTGGGGAGAGAGAAAAAAATGCATCTGCAGCCGAGTTCCTGACGGCTCCCCTCCCCCAGGCCTGGCTGTGACATTGCCGTGGCCACAAAGGAGGAGGTAGGGACGGGGGTGGAAGAACAGGTGGCCCACACCCTGCAGTGGACAGCCCGTGACTTCAGGAAAAAAGTTCATCCCAGGAGGTCTGCTCTGCTTTGCTTTGTCAAGTTAAAAACACAACGCAGAAAACCCGCAGAGCAGCAGCGGGGCTTGTCCCTTGTGCAGACAGTCGGAGGGAGCACCGTCCTCGAAGTTTAATTGACCGGCTCTTGTCCTTTCCCTTACCTCTTCGATGTTACCCGCGTCCTGGCAGGTTTGACCCTCATCCCAAGAGGTAGTACTCTTAAACGGCACTCAAAAAATTTTTGCCTTAAAACTGAGCTACAGGAGGAGTTCATTGTAGCAATCTTCCCTCCAGCCAACTGCCTGGAATACCCTAAGGCAGGTGCATGCTATAGCTGAAGTCCTAAATGAACCTTACATCTTAATGTCCATCAAAACAAGGGGTTAAAAACGGAGAGGTGTTTTCTCATTTTTACCCAATGTTACATTTGTAATGGAAACATTCATTTAAAAAGAAATTGTAAAGGTGCAGAATCTGTTCCTAACAGTCATCTCAGAATCAACCATACGAGAGATGTCACTCTTACGCCCCAAATGCTGACTCCAACAGAGACATCCAGTATGGTTGATGGCAGTGCTGCTTGCTTTGAGACTAGCCATCCGCAGGCATACTTGGTTTTAAGAGGTAGGAGATGAGATGATAAATAAAAGTGATTTTTTTCTTCCCTTGACTAGATCTTGTGCTCTGATCACATTTCCACCCCTTGCTAGCTTTTGTAGCTTTGGGTGAGGGGGCTCCTTCTGGCATGTGATCTTCGGTAAGCTTCCTTGGGAACCCAGTTTTCTCTCCTGGACTTAAATATTACTTGACTTTATAATCCAGTTAAAGGAGTCCCCCGTCCCCAGAAACAACAACCACTCATCAACAAGTAGACCAGAAGGTGTGTTTCAGGGTTCACACATCTATAAAATTAAGTTCTAATCCAGCCTCTGTCCACGGGATCTCCGAGGCTAGCAAACTTTTTTGGTGTAAGGGTCCCTTTATATTCTTAAAAGTTATTGGCGATCCCAACGTGTGGTATGTCAATATTTACCATCACAGAAACAAAAACGGAGACTTTTAAACAGTTCTTAATTCATTTAAAAATAGAAACAAGAAGCCCATTATTTGGTAACATAAATAGCTTTTTTTAACTGAAAATAATTTTTTCAAAACAAAAACAAAAGTTAGTGAGAAGGGTGGCATTGTTTAACACGTTTGCAAATCTTGATTATATGACACTAGGAGATATCTGGATCCTCATACCTGCTTCTGCATTCAGAGCACACATCTGGGAAACCACCATACACTTGTGAAAGAACAAGAGTGGAAGGGGTAATTGATAATGTAGAATTTTTATGAAAATCGTTTTTAACCTCTTGGACCCTCTTCCACCAGAGCCTTGGGAAGCCTAATGGGTTCCTGGCCACTTTTGGAGATCTAGGCTATCCGAATTATTTTGCAGGGTTTGGTGGGCAGGGATACATTATGGTGTGATTCTCCTCACCTATTCCATTTGCTATAGTCTGTATTTGGAATAAAAAGTGGGAGCAAACAGAATGAGATACATGTTTGAAGTGGCTCCCACGGTGGCCCTAGACAAGAGCGAGTAAGGCTGTGGTGGCACTGCGCAGGCCAGGGGTCTGTAATATAACAGTCTCTGATAACAGTTGCCTAGCCTGTATGCTCTCTGTGGGAGGGCTCAGGAATAGGGTAAGGAGGTGGTTAGTATATTATCATTTGGAAAACCATATTTTATTTTCCTGTGACTATTTGGTGGATAATTTTTGGCTTTCAGTAAATAGGATGCTGTTTGTATATAGTGTTTATATCTGCACATTCATTTATTTGGGACTACTTTTAATAAAGTGTGCATTTACTGCCATTCTTTCCATGGTTCTTTATTTGTAATAGTATCATGTAGTTATTGAGGGAGAGAAGATAAAACTAAATTCATTTTATTTCAAAAAGTTTGAAACAACTGACTAAAAAATATTTTCTGTCTTGTACTGATAACCTTACAAATTGTCAATATTTATTGCAACTGTTGGGAGATGATGAGATGCAGAGTAAAAGTCATGTGGATTCCTAAGAACTATTCACTCACATCTTTTAAAAAATTTCTTATTAAAAGCAGTGCTTATTTTTAAATTTTATATAATTATATTTTTTTCTTGTGCAAAGTACTATTTTTCAGCACTAATATAGATTTATATGTTGTGATTGATGATTAAATCAACTGTGCTTAATATTTCAAAATTCTCAAAGTTCTCTTAGTTTTTATACCATTATTTTTCCCAGCAGATATTTTACAGATTAAATTGTTCATCAATTATTGTCTTGCCCTAGTCGGTTTGACTCAATGGATAGAGCGTCAGCCTGCAGATTGAAGGGTCCTGGGTTTGATTCCGGTCAAGGGCACATGCCCCAGCTTGAGGGCTCAATCCCCAGTAGGGGGTGTGCAGGAGGCAGCCGATCAATGATTCTCTCTCATCATTGATGTTTCCTTTCTCTCCATCTCCCTTCCTCTCTGAAATCAATATATATTATTTTAGTTCTCAATTTTATTTCCTTAATTATTTTTAATTGATTTTTTATATTAGTTCTCACTTTTTATTTTCTCACTATACAGTGAGATTTATTTGACAATTCTTCCACCCCCACCCCACTGTCTGATTCTTTCTAACTACTCAGGAGAACTATATGATGATTCCTTTTAAAAGTTTTCTGTAGCTCTTGGCTCCAACAAAGACACTCTGCATATCCACTTGTAACTCTTAGGGGCCATAGCCAACTAGGAGAGATAGCTGTCAACAGTCTTGTGTGGGTGTGTCCACAGGGTATAGAGCATTGTGCTAGACACTTGTACTGAGTAAAGTCGTGGCATGTTCCTTTGAGAGCCATTAACTGCTATAGAACAGCAGACTGGCTGTTTAGATAGAACAACCTGAATATATGATAAAAGAACTTTGTACTCTGAATGCATCTTTCTGAAATGTTGAATGGGCAAGTTTGTAAATATAGTGTGATTCATTACAATACACATCCGTACTCAACTGAAGTTTTTATTGAATTTTGTGAGATATTTTGAAATAATTTTCCATATAAAGGTGAGTTTGTGTTAAAAGGTATTGATAGAGTGTTTGGCTTCTATTAAACTCATGTGTGACACTTGTTCTAATTTAGTTACATTTTCATTATTTTTATTATAAGGCCTGCTGAAAATGACTGAATATAAACTTGTGGTAGTTGGAGCTGGTGGCGTAGGCAAGAGTGCCTTGACGATACAGCTAATTCAGAATCACTTTGTGGATGAATATGATCCTACAATAGAGGTAAATCTTGTTTTAATATTATGCATATTGATTTGTGCAGGCCCATCCTTTGGGTACAAAAAAAGTTGCATTATAAGACAATTATACTGAAAATAATTTTATTAAGTTATCAGAAATATATTTAGGCTTTAAAGCTTTACTCTGAAGTTATACATAACCATAGATATGGAGAGCCCTTCTTCTCTTGGGAAATCTCAAGTTTAATGACATTCCTTCTGTGTTTGTATGTGTGCATTTCAGAGTTTTGTGAGTGAAATGTGAATATACATTTTACCTATACCTAGCAGTAATTTAAAAAAAAAATGTGGCTATTATTTTTATGGGTTTTTTTGTTTTGTTATTTTGATGTCACATATTAGATTTGAATTGTACTGGTGAAGTATAATCATTTGAAGGCTGATTTAATGTAATTAGTATCTCCCTGTTTCCTCTTCATATTGAAGTAGTGGAGAATCTACAGCTACCTGATGCATTTTTAAAAGTTCATTCTTTGCATATATAGGTAACTGTATATCTCAGATATATATAAGGGTACCACAACCAATCCTTTGCTTTCCAGCGCTTTTTTAATTTACTCAAGGAAATGTTAGATTTTTTTTATTACAAATTGATTAATAATTTTCAGACTTTTTTATTTTAATGAAAAATCACCAAACTAAAGGCCAACAACAGATAGAATGAAGGCCTGAAGGAGACCTTAAGAGGTCAGGTAGTATCAAGCAGATAAGGATCAATTTAATCCCAAAGTCCTGTAGGAGGGAATGACACAACTCTCCTTGTTAACTCATTTCCAGAATTAATTTATTTTATGCATAATCTGAAACTTCATGTTAAGTTTCACATCAGTGGAGATGGAAAAAAGTATACTGCCTCATCTTTGAAATAGACTTATACTGTTGGATTATTTCTTAGACTTCTTTACCCCGGGTAAAGCAATCCAACCGCCTAGCTTTTATTCTAGGTCTGATATACCAGTTGTTTAAATCAACTTTGAAAAGATTACCAGAACTTTGTCTGCGTCCCAAGCTGCATAATGTCTTTGACTGCACTGAGGTAGGTTCTAAGGGCTTTGGTGGCCTGGGAAGATGTTTATGCAATTTAGAACTGAGGATTGATAAGTTTTATAAGGAAATCTATATATATAAAAGCCTAATATGCAAAGTGTCCCCTCGGGAGTTCGACTGACTGGGAGTTTGATCTCTTGCTATGATGTGCGCTGACCATGACCACCAGGGGGCGGTGTGGAACGAAGGAAGGCCCTGGCCAGCCGCCAGCAGCCAGGGAAGGGAGGCCCCGGCAGGCAGCTTGCAGCCAGCAGCCACTAGGGACCCAACCTGTGCATGAATTTCGTGCACTGGGCCTCTATGTTAAATATTTTTGGTACTACAGGGGAAAAATGAAGAAATAAACGTGTATTTGCAAAGATTTGGTTTAGACAGAGAAGCAACTTTTATTTGGCTTCCACGGTTAAGAATTTGCAGTAAAAGGGAAGAGCCCTACTGAAGTGAACCACCTATATAATAGTCTCTGTGTATTTGCTCTCGATAACTCTGTTCAATGCTGTATGATGGTTCTATTTTGTTTTCTTTTTGTCTTCAAGGAGGATTAAATAGTTAACTTATTTCTAAAGCCAAGGCTACTTGGCATACTTCACCATTTAAATCAGAAGTGGAAGGGAGTTTTAAATAGAATTCAGGTTAAGCATGGAACTGTTCCTGGGATTTTGGAAGATGGTTTTAGCAGAAGTAGCCTCATCTTCTCTGAAAATCTGAGGAATTTCATGACACTGTTTTCTACCAGAGGTCGTGAATGCTATATGTATTATAATGTGATAAAATAAGTTAGGAAACCTTTTGGTCACAACTGTTAAAGTGCAGTATAAATAGAATAGAACTAAATCTAAAAGTTCATCCTTTATTTTGGGGGAAAGTAGAAAATGTTTATAAACTCAAACCCATAACTCTGATTATAATTTCTGTCAAACCAGAAGACTTGACTCTGGGAACATTGATTACCTGTGGACTTTGAAATTGAGGTTCCTCACTAGTTTAGCCACCTAGGAAAAGGTATCATACAGAAATTGTCTCTGAGGCAACTAACACACTCAGCGGTTCTCAACCTGTGAATTGTGACCCCTTTGGTGGTCCAACGACCCTTTCACAGGAGTCGCCTAAGACCATCCTGCATCTCAGATATTTACATTACGATTCATAACAGTAGCAACATTACAGTTATGAAGTAGCAATGAAAATAATTTTATGGTTGGGTCACAACATGAAGAACTGTATTTAAAGGGCCAGAAGGTTGAGAATCACTGCGATTCTTGGTGTATAGTTCAACTACAAGAAAAGCAAAAGAATTAATTAGTTTATTCTAATAAACAGTTAAGCAAAAATGCTATCTTGTTGTTTTTGTAAAAAGTTTAAAAGGAGAATGGGGATATCAGTACTGCTGTTAGGTTTTGATTGGTGAATAATGTAGGTCAGAGAGAAAATGAGAGAGGACATAGACTTTGCACATTTGTACTTCTCATCAGTTTTCCTGCATTAAAACAAATGGAAAGAAATTGAAAAAAAAATTTAAATTAAGTGATACCATATTTTCTAGTGGTTTAAAATTTGCAAAGATTTACATATTATGAGATAGATAAGGAAGGTGGTCATTGTTTCTTTTTATAGATAAAAATGGTCTCTGAGAGGTGGTAACTTGCCTAAAGATTCTTTTCTAGTATGGTGGCACTTTAAGTTTTCTGAAACTAAGTTAAATGGAATTTCCACTCTATTCATGTATAACTCTTTAAGCAAAGAAATAGTTATTATTGGAAGCTGATTCATATCAGTATACCAAAATTTGATCTTAAATACTATCTAATGGCACCTTAATGATACAGAGTTAGATAGGAATGACACATTTGTGGAGTATGTTTATATTTGAGGCTATGCACATGATAACCACCTTCTATTCTGAAAGATTTTACCTTTATCTTTTATGAAGTCCATCAAAGAGTTGTAGAGATGATGAAATACCTCATTAGTGGAGCAATATTACTAAAAACTCAAAGCAATCCCCTAAGCATAATACCAGGCTAGAAATATGTATGTTTTTATAGTTTAGCGATCCCTTGCTATTATGAAAACATGTTCTCTCAGATGTATTTAGCAAGGGAAAATTTGATAGAAAAAGAAAAATCTTGTCTTAAAAATAAACAAGTAGTTACAGACATTGAAATCAGAATGATCAGTTGATCAATTAACAAATATATATTACGGATATAATATACTACTAAAAATAGATATAGAAAGTATTTTTTCCAAGCTCTTAATTTCATTGACATCTGCATGCTTCTGTTAGTGTTACATACTTATAATTCTATAATTCAGTCCGAGTTTTATGCCCTTCTTTGATGAAATAGTTTCCTCCTCAGGAAGAATGGATTCATAATTGGATTGATTTGTGCTATCTTTAGTGCTCTGAGCTGTAATCACCAAGATTTATCAGTTTCTGGTTTTTTTATACATAAACTTTATTTGTGGAATTTATTTTACTAACTGAATAAGATTTAAATTAGAGAAAATTTCTAATATTAAATTGTATTGAAAAGTGGTGTTAAAAAGCATTATGTAAACTTGCAAGCTGTTCTTTTTCTGGCTTTTCTATGTATTGGTAGTTATCAATAAGGAGTGACTTTGCCTTTAGGGAACATTTGGCAATATCTGGAGATGTTTTGTTGTCACAACTTGAGGGGGGAACTGCTGGCACCTGTGGTGGGTAATGCACAGGACAGCCCCACAACAAATAATTAATTACCTGGCCCCAAATGTCAGTTGTGCTGAGGTTGAGATCCTATATGGATAGCCTTAAACATTCTTAAATTGTTAAACTCAAGTCCCTGAATAAGGTGGATGTTAGATTTTTCTAACATAGATTTAAGCTTTACCTTTTCTAAACCAGTAATACGTTATTTATTTACTTAAATATACATACACGTGTGTGTGTGTGTGTGTGTGTGTGTGTGTGTGTGTGTGTGTACACACTAGCTTCCTATTAAAACATTCTGTTTTCAAAATAAGGTAATAGCAGTTTTGTAAATGAAGTTCTCTTCAAGGCTGTGACCAGCTCTTCCCCCCCTTGTAAATGAGTGCCCTCTGCTGGTCAGTTTATTTGCTTTTATAATGAATAATAGTAAAATACCTCCTAAATTTGGAGATTTTTCCTATTTGTGTGTGTGGCTATGATCATTTTATAAGTATATTAATTTTATTTAAAAAGTTTTATTTATTTGTTTAAAAATCTAAAGTATCATAATTTACTCTCTGCTAATATTAAGATGACTCTGTGGACTAGTTTAGCCCAAGTATGTGGGTGAATGTTTTTGACTAAGAAAGGAAATGTAGCCTAGTAAGAAAAAAGAGGGGAGTTATTTTGCTTGAGGGAATAAGAAGTGGCACAGTGGCTCTGAATTTCTTTACATGCATGCAGGAGTGATGTGTTAACTGGGTGTGAGGAAGGGTCTATTCAAAAGTGGCAAATTGTGGAAGTTCATATTTTGTAGATTTTTATAGGATTGTAGAATAGTTGTGATCACCTGAATTTTAGAACAAACACAAAATTCAGGTTCTGTATTTAGGTCAATTTAAGAATAAGTGTTTACTTAATAATAACTATTAGACCTAAATGTTAAAAATTATTGGACATGTGTTATTCTTATTTGAATTTTTATAAATACAAAGCTTTAGAGAAATACAAATGAAAGTTGATAATGGCAATAAGTGAAAGGAAAACAATGTTAATGGGTTAGCACAGCCGTGGGCAAACTATGGCCTGCCGGCCGGCCCGTTTAAAATGAATAAAACTACTGAAATAAAAGACCGTACCCTTTTATGTAATGATGTTTACTTTGAATTTATATTAGTTCACACAAACACTCCATCCATGCTTTTGTTCCGGCCCTCCGGTCCAGTTTAAGAACCCATTGTGGCCCTCGAGTCAAAAAGTTTGCC